CTACAGGACCCATCTTCCCTTGTCTTCCCCTTTCTCCCAACACATTCGGTGCCTGTATGTGTCTCTCTGCCCCACAGCACATAAAGGCTTTCTACAACGCCACGTGGTCTCAGCGGTACGGGCACGGGCTGGCCCCTGGCTCCCTGACCCTCCTCTACTCCCTGACTGTCTCCATCTTCGCCCTGGGTGGGCTGGTGGGCTCCCTGCTCGTGGGGGTGCTGGTGGAGCGGTACGGCAGGTAAGGGGGTGGCGTGGGACAGGGTGGTTGAGGGACAGGTTGGGGATGGAGGGGCTGCCCTACTGCTTGTCTTCTTCTAGGAAGGGCGCGCTGAGCCGCAGTGCTCTCCTTGTCCTCCTGGCCGGTGGCTTCATGGGCTTCAGCCGGGAGCTGAGGTCCCCTGAGATGGTGATCATTGGCCGCTCCATCATGGGGATCCACTCAGGTAGGTGCTTCCCGGGCTATAGGGCTGTGCACGGGCCCTTCCTTGCAGTGGGGGTCTCCATGGGGCAGACAGGGCCAGCTCCCTGGTCATGAGGTCCCCACCATGGATGGTGCTGGGCATAGGAGGAGATGCACAGAGGGCTCAGCAGGGCACTCTTCTCCCCACTGCCTCTCCCGTCCTTGTCTCTCCTGTGCCCCCAGGTATCTGTCTCAGTGTGGTCCCCCTCTACCTGGGAGAAATCGCCCCCAAGAACCTGCGAGGTTTCCTGGGCCTCATGCCCAGCATCTTCATCTGCCTGGGGGTTTTCTTTGCACAGGTCCTGGGCCTCCCAGAGCTGCTGGGTGAGGTGAGCACAGCAATACCCCAGCCCACACACGCTGGACCCTGCTCTGCCATTCCCGTGACACGTCCTGTTTCAACTCCTCTCAGGACAGGTTCTGGCCCCTTTTCCTGTCCATGGTGGTCATTCCTGCCTCTCTCCAGCTCCTGCTGCTGCACTGCTTCCCTGAGAGCCCGCGGTACCTGCTGATAGAGAGGAACGACGTCTGTGGGGCCACCAAGGGTGAGGGGGTGTGGGTGTCCTGGGCGAGATTGGCCCTGGTAGCTGCTGGGTGCTGGGCCGAGGTCTCCTGAGACCAAGGTGCAGCCTTGTAGCATCCTTCCATCCCCAGACCTGACAGCCCACCATAGTCCTTATGTATGGTTCAGCCCTTCTGTCCCACCCAGTTGTGCTGTAGCATTTCCATGGTGCCCATCACCATCATGTAAAACATCTCCTTTGTTCCTGTGGATGCTCAGCCTCATGGGTCAGGGAGGTCTCCTGGCAAGGCTGAGCCAGGGCAGAGCTAAGCCCCTGCCCCTGCCCTGTGTCATGCCTATGAGCATCCACTCTGCAATGGGGAGCTGTGTGCCTGTGACCGCCATTCTCTCCACAGCGCTGCACCAGTTCCTGGGGACACCCGACGTGCAGGATGTAATCAAGGAGATGAAAGAAGAGCAGCGGTCGCTCTCCTCCGTGGAGATGGTTTCCGTCTGGCAGCTGCTGCGGGACCGCTCCATCTGCTGGCAAACCCTCTCGGTGGTGGTGGTGAATGCCGGCATGCAGCTCTCGGGGATCGACGCCGTAAGCCCTGTGGGGTCCTCAGCCCAGGACCTGGCTCTGCAGAGGCTGAGCTGAGACCTGGCAATTCATTTCATCAAGCGCCTCATGTCTCCAGCCCCCCCAGCTCACACTAAGTCCCCTTCTCGGCAGATCTGGTTTTACACCAACA